TTGGCTGTATCAAACATTAAAAAAAATACACATCAAAGTTTTTTTTTTTGTAAATAGATCGTAAAATGTTCAGAAAGGTTTTTGTGTTAAATTCATATTTCTCCCTTTTTACAAAAGTTGTTCTTGAAAATATTGCTATCTAGGTTTACCCCTAAAGGTTGTTCTTGGGTCTAATTGAAAGAACTCATTGCTTGGGAAGCCCATGAGACTACACTGTGCTTTAGTTCACACCGAGGAATGGGAGGTCAGCGTATATGGGTCAAATCAAGGCCACGGCCCTCACCTCCAGCATGGAGACCAGGAGGGTATTGCCAGGTGCCCCTCTGCCTATAGGGAAATCCAGCCCTGTAATGTGGAAACTTCCCTATGGAGGGAGGTGCCAACTGAGGCACCTTCTCTGGCACGTCTTGGCATTTTCTGCCAAAGTGCCAGGTGGTGTTGAAGAGAACAAAAACTTACCCCTGGCACACTAGGGCATGTTTCCATCTGGCCTCTTGATCCTATGACTCTTTCTCTTTTATTTCTTTAAAATTGGTTTGGCTAGGCACAGTGGCTCACACCTGCAATCTTAGCACTTTGGGAGGCTGAGACGGGAGGATTGCTTGAGGCCAGCAGTTCGAGACCAGCCTGGCTCGAACTCTACAGTGAGACCCTATCTTTACAAAAATAGAAAAAATTAGCCAGGAGTCATGGCACACATCTGAAGTCCCAGCTACTCAGGAAGCTGAGGCAGGAGGATCACTTGAGCCCAGGAGTTGGAGGTTGCTGTGAGCTAGGATGACGCCACGGCACTCTAGCCTGGGCAACAGAGTGAAACCCTGTCTTGAAAAATAAATAAATAAAAAATAAAATTGGTTTTATTCTATAGTTTTTCTTTTTGGCAACTGGGCTTGAGCATCAGTTATATATAAGCAGTGAATGGCCTTTGTGTTTATCCATGGCTTCAAGCATGACTCATTCCCATTGATTCTACTGAGAAAACATTCAGGCGTGTAAAGCCAGGCAAGAGCCCCACACCAAGCATGTCACCACTGGGACTACCTGTCACATCCAAACATCTTACATGAGAAACACTTGGGAACAGTCTTTGCCATCACACACGTGGACACCTTCGTACAAAGATTATTCTTGACTGAGAAGAAGAAACAGGTGGTAATTGGTTTACGTGTACAGTTTAGGAACTGATATTATCACCCTTAATCACAGTGTAAAGAAGTCTCACTTTGTGTCATCATCACGTAACACATTTCCCATGGAACATCCACGCCCCACACCTAGAAATGGAGCATGGAACCTGGCGAGAGGTAGGGGTTTAGTTACTGAATACATATGTGACACACAGATTTAGCCACAACCCAAAGGGTAGACGATGCCACCCTTTCTTTTAAGAACTGACTGTTTGAAAAGGTTCTCTTTAAGAACCAAGAGCAAAGGAATTCTGAGCCCAAAGGCATCCTGGTTGGTTCTCGGTGGGGACTTCAGTCCAGGTGTGCCCTGGCTGTCCACGGGTGCCAGGTACCTGGAGACTGATCAGTCACCTTTTAGTGCTGAGGAGCAGGATGGACCAAAAGTAATAATGTTAAAATGACGATTTAATGAAATAAGATCATACCAAGAACTTTCAAATTACTAAGTTCAAATCACTCAGCTGTCTCAACCCAACCAAAGGCTTGTGCATTTCGAAGCCCATCCGTCAGAGAAGCAGTATGATAGCCGATTCGAGGTGACTCCTTCTGCAGGGGAGTAGCTGAGGACCTCATCTGTTCAAAGTTGGGAGGCAACAGGCTGGACAGCGATAAACACCCCACACTCAGGACGCCACTTCCCTGGCCCTGCCGTGGGACCTCTCAGGACCCAGAGGGGCAGCCCCAGGCTTCACGCTCAGCTGGGCTGGGACACTCTGCCCTGCGTGGGTCTGCCCTGGGTTCTCGGCTCAGGAACTTTGGTAAGAGGACCAGAGGAGTTCAGGCTGGGGTTAGGACTTCACATAATTGGGCAAAAATCCTGCGTTTGATTCCGTTTTATCTTTCCAATATGGTGTTTCTCTTTGATATTCACCCTTAAGGGTGATAAGACATTCTTCCTTTCCTCATTCTTTGGAGCCAGGAAGAGATGAAAGTCACTTTCCTATCTAAGCTGACAAGATTAGCGAATCCACCCAGCTGCACTCGGAGGCACCCGGACGCTCGGTGACGTGGGGCTTTATGTGATTTCGCTGGAATGTCTTCCCCCACCCCTGCCATCCGTTAACTTCTACATGTCCCGCAGGGCTGGGGCCACCTCGTCTGTCCACAGGCCTGGGGGAGTTACTCCCACTAGAATTTGGGGCCTCGCAACACTCCCACAGAGCTGCCTCTACCTCACACTCACACGGACTCAACCCGTTTGTCTGGGGGTCCCCTCCCTCGACTGTGACAGTTAACTGTTATTTCTATATACCTAGCACTTACAACGTAGTGGTGCTGAATAAATGTTTATTGGGTGAATGGACTTGTGGGTGAGCCTCTGTCAGTATCCACGCGTACATGCATTCCAGTACGTCGGACCGTGGTTACGGCTCCGAGTTTCATGAAACCGTACCAGATGGGCAGCGGCCATTCATTCACGTGCGAATGAGCACTGCACGGACTTCCAATACATGGAACTCATATTGATATGAGCTTATACTCATGGACTCCAACCATGAGGATTTGAAAAAGCAGCTTTGCACTTTGAAATGAATGTGTAACAATTGGCAAGTGCTCAGAATGACAGAACATTTACAGGTGGGTGAGGCTAACTCATGCTTGTCTTTCTCTGAAGGTTTGCTGAGGCTTCTGTGCCCCTGCAGCTGGAAGGATGCCCACTAAGCTGCAAGCCAGGGTGGGGACAGCTGCCCCAAGGAGGCTTCCGATGTGATCTATCCTTCCATGGGGGACCCGCTGCCATGACCACAGAAGCCTGACCTCACCAGGAGGAAGGCTGCACATTCCAGACAAGGATGGAACCCAGGCGAGGGTAGGGGGAAGATGGAAAAAGGAAAGGAGAGGGCAGGAGAAGGGGCTGCTACTGTGGATGGATCAATGGATCTTCCAGGCCAAAACCAGGACCAGAACACAGGTCAGAGTCTGGGAAAGGGGAGAAGACTTTTGCCCCTAATCTGGGTTGTCTCAGAAGTGAGCTGCTATGTTGCATACAGTGGAGGTTTTCACAGATGCATGGTGTTCTACAGAACTGCCCAGGAGACAGGGGTGGACACAGCTGTGTCTGACCTGCCTTCCACAGAGCAGTGTAATTGCAGTCAGTTCTGTTTATTGGAGCTTGGCACAAGACTCCATTTAAACAAAGCGTTCTAAACGCTTCCATTAAAAACAAAAACAAACCAAACAGTGAATGGTAACCCCTTGTCCACTGCAGTTTTGTCCCTAACATTGGCAGAGCTACAACAGGCAAAGTCGAAGTCTCATGGGACCCCAGGATCTGGGGTACCGATAGAGACAATGGCATCATAAATGTCAAAACAAACAGCAGAAATGATCAAAGTTCCAGAGCGGTGCTATCCAAGGGAACCTTCTGTGGTGGGGGGGACGTTCTCTATCTGTGCTGTCCAAGAGCCATGTGTGGCAATGGAGCACTGGGAAAGTGGCTGGTGGGACTGAGAGGTTAATTTCTCAGTTTGTTTAATTTTAATTTCAATTTGAATAGACTCAAGGGGCCCGTGGCTGCTGTGCTGGACAGAGTGGCTCCGGAGGGCACTGCCCCCGCAAACCAACAGACTCCAGCGTTACCTTCTTCCATTATTTCAGGAGCCAAACAGCAGGCACAGATTCTCACCCAAGCCGTGTGTTTTGATGACTAAGCACCTGTCTTTAAAATCCTGAAACCAGCCCTTACTGGGCCTGAACTTTCATTTTTAAATTTAATTCTGCCTTTGCACTGACCTCTGCTTTTGCTTTCACAAGGTCCTGCAAAGCGTTTGTGCAACAGGTTGCCCTTCCACAGGGCTCTAGAAGGAACATTTCCTCTAGACCAGATTTTCTATCCATCCAGAGAAAACAGGGCAGGGGAACACGCGCAGACTTCTCTCTGCCGTATCCTACAGGACCGTCCTGTGGGACAGGGAGGTATAATTGTGGTGCTGTTCTCTTGTTGAGTGGGACCAACCTGAAAAGCTTCTTGCAAAGCAATTTGTAGAAATTACAACAGAAGTTTATCAGCTCAGTTCCACCCAAGAGCTCCTGTGGCGACCCTAGGCGAGTGGACACTCACTCAGGCTTCAGAGCTCACCTCTGGGTGTTTTGCCTGCCTCACACACCCCTTGTTAAGTATAGACCACAAATGCTTCTCTGGATGTCGTAAGTCAGTGTCCTTTAGGACAGGAGATCAGAAAACTAGCATCTCTTACCCAGTTCAAAGCAGCCTACAGCAGCGAAGATGGTACGAGCAAAAAGATGAACAAGGCCCACCAAGTGAAAGCAGGCGTACCTCACTGGGGACAGTGCTGGGGGACTGTCTACACGTGGGGACCAGGAGATCAGTTACTCTGGAGTCACAGGTGGCAGAGACATCCGAGGCTTTCCAGATCGTACGGCTTCATGCATGTTTCAGAAGTACATGATGCATGTAAATGCTATGCTACTTTTACTGGCAGAAAATTCAGAAACAGAACAAACCTCTTCCATCGACAGGTAAAAATGATTTGGCAAAATCTGCCACCTTCTCTGTCTGCTCGTGGGCCAGGGCAGGTACTGCTGATTCATGGACCTTGGGCTGAGCTGCGAGCCCAGGAACTGTTTCCTCTCGTAGGCAAACCATTCACTTGTAGCCACTTACAGACATCATTCTCGCTAAAACGTCCTTCTTTGCCTTTCAGAAATGAAACTGAAGTGCCGGGTCACCTGTCCATTATCATCTAGCCCTTACACAGGAAATTCAGGGAAGAGCACAATCACAGCCTTTGGGCAAAGGAAACAAAATACATGGCACATGCGGGCTGCCCTGTAGTTGGGCCTGACACTCACCTGTCCCCCGGGAGTGGCTGAAGTCTCCCTTTACCACGCGGCAGGTCTTGCCGTCCCCACTGCAGACTCCACACCGGTCTTCCTTGGCCGCAGACCCGATGATGCCATCACAGCCGATTTTCTAAAGAACCAGAGGGCTGGGTTATTCTGTGCGCAAGACCCAGAGGGGTCCAAAAGAGGCTGCGCCGCAAGGCTGACTTCTCCGTGAGGCCCGGCAGGCACGGTGCCTGGGGCCCCGACACTTTCAGAGGCCCAAGAAAATATCTGAACTCCTTTTAAAATCAGAAGAGAAACAAATGAGTAGAATCTGGCCTGGATTAGATTTGCCTTCATGCCCACATAGCTGTCATATATATTTTTTATTTGTTCTGGGGAAGGGAGCCCATGAAGGCAAAAGTGCCCACGGAAGTCACCCTGAGGCCTAAAGCCCTGGCTGCCTGGGGCAGAGGCCCGGGTAGGGAGTGAAGCCTGCACCCTCATGCCACCTGGTGTGGCCCTGATTCCACGTGATTAGTGCTCCCCTCGGAGCTGCAGGGGTCACCTGTATCTTGGTTGAAACAACCGATAGTCTCAGAACATACAACAGAAACCACAGACCTTCCTACTGAGGTGGGGAAGCCTGGAGACCACTGAGGCAGGGCTGGGCCTCCCGTTTCTCAGGTGGGGAAACCAGTCCACAAAAAGCTTCCGTGTCTGAAACCTTTCTCACAAGCACATCTGGGAGCAGAGGAGAGGCAGCCTCTACCTTAGGTGGGTCTGGGAAGCACAGCCCAAGTTTCATGAAAAGTAGAAAAAGGTTTTGAACTCTTATTTTTTTTTTTTTTTTTAAAAAAGCATGAGAATTTTGTATTCTGCAAGATAAGTTCATGTTATGGCAAACAGCGGGTGTTTATTTACTAGTTAAATTGCTTCAATACCCCTCCACATTTTTTCCTTTAAAGTGAGTATTTCCAGAACAAGAACTGGGTTTTTCCCACTGCCTTGCACCCCAAGTTAGATATTAGTGCTTTAGACTGTAAAATGCTTTACAGCCAGAAATCGGGCACCACAGTAATGCTGGTGGAGGTGATTTAGCACTCTGCTGCGATGCCTGGATGCGAACAGGCAACGTGCTTCCCTTTCACACCCACTCCCACCTGCAGGCAGGACTTGGAGCAGAGCTGGCTGCACTCAGATCCCTGGGAGGCCCACGCCTCCCAGACATAACCGGGATCCTCTGCTTCCTCACGCCACTGAGGCTCCAAACCGAGCCCTCACCTGGAGGGCTGCTAAACACAGACCCAGCCCCAGAGTCTCTGACCCAGGAGGGCTGGGCGTGCCTGAGAATCTGCATTTCTAACAAGCTCCCAGGCCACGCTGCTGCGGCTGGCCTGGGACCACACCACGGGAACCACAGCACCATGGCACACTATCCGAAGGAAGAGAGGAATATTCTTCATATTTAATAGTCTTAAAGTCTCATCCTTGGATCCTCTTATTTCTTTGGGAAGGATTCAATGGGAAATTACGACTGTGTGTCTAAAAACAACAGCAGAACTGGACACATTTCAGTAAAGCGTTTAAGATAGTCTAAGAACACAGCAAGTTAGTCTAAAAATGACCACTGTGAAAACTGAAAAGGAGAAGACAAACTTGCTCAAAGTGAGCACAAAAACAGGAAAAGGGAAAACGTGGAGGCTGTAGGAGCCAGAGGAGTCCGGGCAAGGAAGGACTGGAGAAGAGCAGACTGAATGGCAGCTGGGGGCAGTTAGGCGACACATCAAGATGAGGGGGCACCGACTGTGATGCTTCGCCAGGGCAGGCCACCCAGTAGTGACCTGGAGGGAAACCTTGAACCTGGAGCACGTTGCAGGGGCTGCCTGGATTCCTGACCTGCACTGCTAGCTGCGGCTGCAAAGTTGCTCAGTATAAAATTACAGGGGCTGTCCCTGTTCTGGCCGGCTCTGGGCCTTCCCATCTCTCCCAGGTTCTCTCAGCTCTAGGCCTTCCCGCATTGGCCTCCTCTTATTTCAAACCTACACTCTTGCTTGGTGGTAGTGAGTCTCTGGCTTCACGTCCGGTTCCCTGTCCTGCACCTCAGTTGGGGTTTCCTGATTAAACAGCTTCTAGATGCTCTAAGTAAACATCCCGTTTGGTCCAGATAGTCTCCCCCGGCCCCAGCGAAGACGACTTTTCAGGTCAGGTACAGACAGGGATGCACGCAGGGCTGCCCTTCCGGTTAATCCTGCAGGTCATCCAGGGGTGGGACAGGTCCATGTGCTCTGTGCACTCTGCTTGGCAATGCCTTAGGCGCCGTCTGCATCTGGACGCAGGGTGTGCAGGGATGTCTGTGTCTGAACCCTGAGGGCTGACGACGGGCCACAGCCGAACGCATCTGCCCCGGGGCCATTTTCTCCCTTTGCCGCAGTCAGTGCAGGCAGTAACTACAGTGTTCTTGTCAGGGACTGGGCTTTTTTCCAAGTGGAAGCTACCATAGGACACAACTGAAGTCGCTGATTCTGAACGTTGGAAGAGCTTTAATGATCATACTTAGGAGGCTTGGTGTCCCAAGAGAACAAGACGACCAAACCCGAGAGAACTCCAAGCGATAAATGCTCTAAAGTCTCCCCACGTTATCCTGGAGATCCTTAGTTACTTTCCTACCTACACTAGGAATTCTCATCCCCCATTTCTGAGCTTTCAATATGGCCTTAAAGTTGCTGGTCAGCATCTGCTGGACTGGGCGCTGTGCCGTTGGCCGCCTCAGGGCACATGTGACAGTGATGCCCTGTGACATAATCAAAGGCACAGGTCGGAATGGAACTGGTGGGGAAAGCACAGGTTCTTTTTGGTCCAGACAGTTCCCGTGAAACACGCTCAATATAGTTAGAAAAGCTTTAGCGCCCAGACCCGCGCCGCTGGAGGAGGGCCCAGGGTGGCCGTGGGCAGTGTGCCATTGCTTCCAGAAGTGGGAAATATCGGTCTTCAACCATCTGAGTCCTGTATTCTACCCCCAGAATTTTGCCCCTACTGAAGACTACTGGTGACAAACAGCCTCCTGTCATCACATCAAGTGCCACTTCTCCATCCTCATCTGGGACCTCTTGCTCCGTAGCCTCTGCCATGGTGTAACGCCCACCCTGTCTTCAGTTGTACGTAAGATATTTGTTCATCCAAAGCAGTTACCAAATGCCTGTTACGTGCCTGCCTGGAATAAAGATATGTAAGACACAGGGAGGCGCCAACATGGAAACAAGCGGACACCCTAGAGCACGTGCCCAAAGGCGGCACGGAGACCAGTGAGGGCGGGCGTCTGGGATGCTCTTGCCTTGGACTGCTCCTCCACCCTCTTCTTGCTTCCCAGACTCCCTGAAAGTGCACAGCCCCCCAGGGGTTCCCTGCTCCTTCTGCTTCTCTTTAATTTTCTTGGCAATTTTACTTTCTCCTTGGATTTAAACCATCACTCTCCTGCAGACAACCCTTAAACCCAATTCTCCCCCCGCCACCCTGGTTGACGCTACCGAGCGTCTGCTGAGCACCCTCCCTGGCCTTTCTCCCTGGCCACTGGGCACAGTGGGCCAACTTCTCTGCAGCGGCTCCCTCCTGACTTCTTAACTCCAGCTGGACACCCCCTGCTACCCTCTTGGAACTGACAGACAGGCACCCAGGCCTGAAACCTTCAAACCACTCTGACTTTTCCTTTTCTTGACAGATCCAGTCAATTGCTGAGTCCAGGCTTTTCCCCCTGAAAACCTCTAGTGTCTGTCTCTTCTCCACGTTCCTGACTACTACCTGGTTTAGACCCTTCTTACTCAGGACATGAACTACTGGACCATTTTTCTCCCTGCCTGTTGCCAGATTAGCTGTCACGTGAGAAGATCTGTGGCCACAGATCCCCACTGCCTACCAGCAATGTCCATATTAGGAGTTCAAGACCCTTCGTAATCTCATCCCAACTGCTCGCCAACTCAGCTTTCCTTCCTTCCCCTCCAAATGTACACAGAATCCAACCATTTCCCAGCCTCATGCCTGCGAGCACAATGTCACTTCTCAGCTAGATGAGTTGCCAGAACAGCCTCCTAACTGATTTCCTGGGATCCCCTGGTGCGTCACCAGAGTCAACTCTGCATCACCAAGATCACTTCACTCCTCCATCACATTCAGAATAAAACCCAGAGTCTGCCTGGGTCCTTACTCTTCTGTGCCAGGCCTGCCCCCTGGACCACCCCAAACCTCCCCCATTCCTGGGATGCACCAGCCTCTCTCTTGCTTCCTTCTGCCTGGAGCTCTCTGTCCCACCTCTCTGCCAGCCTGGCTCTTCCTCAAATGCTCTCTCCTCTGAGAGACCTGCCATGCCACCTGTTCACAGTGCTCAACCACAGTCCCCTACGTGGTCTTGCAAGGACACTATTTTCTTCTTCATACATCCCCATCTCTAGAGTGATCACGTCTGTGGGCTTACATGGTCTGTACATTGCACAGGGACAGGGATCCTCTCTGTCCCGCTTTCCATGGAAGCCCAGCATGTACAGTGTCTGGCACACAGCACACGGAATGTGCCTGACAAATACCTGACACATGCACAAATCAGATTCCACACTATGTGTTTTCTGCCACGTCTGAATCTCTCATTGGCTCTTGGTCATGCCTTCGCTCTGGTTGTTGGGTTTCCACGTGTGTGTCGTCTTCCCGACAGACTGCAAGCACGGGGAGGGCTGTGTCTGATAATTCCCTGTCGTCTCTCCCAACTCCCTGCACACAGTGGTTGGTGTGGTGTTGAGCACACTCTGTGTGTTCAGCAAGTGCATAAACATGACGACCCTTATCAACTTGGGTGGGTGAGTTTCCTCCTATTTGAATTAGGATTTTCTCGTACAGGTTTTGATGGTCCTTGTTTGGTTGGCTATTTTCTGGCTGGAATAAGTAGTACTTGCTTTCTTCAACTTAGTAGCTATCTTCCAACTGCTGCCTCATTCTATCTCTTCTGCTGGAGGGAGGTCATTGACCTATTTGGCTTTTAAGTGCATGTAGATTTCAGGCCAGCTGTGGAGCTGTCATGCCGGGATTTACTGGGCTCCTGCGTGAGTTCCACCAGGGCCTGCAGGGCTTATACTCCTCTTGCTTGACTTCATCCTTGTTTTG